GCTGCAGTATAACTTTATAATACAACGCAATTAAATTCGTGGAACATCGAAATCCTTTTTTGTAAAATTTTTTTTTTAAAACAAACAAATTGACAAATCGTTGCGAAATTAGATAAAACATCATTACTGAAATTAGTATCTTTGTTTACACGAATTTTGTTGCGCTTTTTCTAAATGTTAATTATAAGCGACCATTCTGGTAGCACAAAATTTTAAACCATGCAATCACAGCCACCAATCTGTGGTGGAAACCAACTTGCGAAAGAGTTCAAAGAAACTGGTACGATGCATCCACCTCCATCTATCCCCCGCCTCTTCCCGAGATTCAACTATAAATTCTAATCCAGTCATAGTCAACAAATAATACCATCTTTCCGCTGGAAAATATCCTTTTTGTGTAATCAACAATAATCCATCACCAACTAAACAAATCGTTTCCCTACTCACTGGTGTACTGCACCTAATTTCTAACCATACTTTTTACAAGTTTATTTAACTTCTTGACCTGCCATATTTATGGCATTACGATTTCTAAGAAATTACCCAACCGAAAAAATGTCATTAATACATTTTTGGTTTTTGTAAATTTTCTAGAGAGAGATTTGCATAATCTTACATACAAATGCACCCAATAACTGATAAACTAATAAACAATATCTCGTGTAACTGAATTCAAATAACACGTCCAAATAAATTAATTTCATTCATTTGAAGAAGAGCCTTCAGTCCTATAATAGAAGAAAGTAATAATAATGAGAGGGGAGGAATTTTTTGCTGCTCATATTTGAAGAGCAAGTAAAAGGTGGTTCTAAAAAGTCAAGTTGGATATGGAAAGATGATCAATTCTTGTGGTGGAAACATAATAAAAATAGATTTCCTGTTTTGCCTACTAAATACTAGTGTGCACCTACAACCTCCACCCAAGCGAGAGGTTATTTAGTTAAGCTGAAAATACAATAATCTCAAAAAAAAAACAAAACTTGATCCACCCTTATTTGAAAAAAATTTGATAATTTTGATAAATTAGAATATTCATTTGAATAATTAATTAATGATCAAATGAATATTTTATTTATAAACGAATGAATATTCAGTGGGCACAACATTTAATGGGAAAATTTCTGATTAATAGAGAAGGTTCTTATCATTAATACACAGTGAGTCTCGGTATAGCGGATAATTTGGGCAATTAGGACAAAAATTTCAAAAATCCGTTATACCGAGATTAATTCAAGATTTAATTAGTAAATCCGTTAAACCGAGAGAATTTACTTATAGACGGTTCTGAGCTTTGATCCGTTAAACCGAGAGTTTTATTAGACATCCGCTATACCGAGGTCCGCTATACCGAGACTCACTGTGTATCATGGAGAGGATTGTTATCGACTACTATTTCAGATGCTTGTGGCCTGTACGTGTTCGTTGTTTGTTGCAACATTAGTCATATCAATATTATCAATTGCAGAAAATTTACTATTTCTAGTGTTCTGAGCAAGCTAGGTCTAGTACCCGGGTCAGACATAATTGTAAAATAAAATTATTTCATGGTTTAGTAATATTATTTTCTTTAAGCAAATTTTTCAGGTACATGCATGCTTGAATTATTTCCTGTGACATCTTTTTTGTAATTAGGTTATCACCCACCACCTTAAAAGATTCTTTCGACTGACACATTTGTACATTATATTAAATGATACATTTTTTTTGTTACAAATTAAACATATAAATAAAAATGATTATTACTAAAAATGAAAAAATGAATTTAATGAATGAATGAATGAGTGAGTGAATGAATGTTTTATATTTATTAAAAAATTACTTGTTGTTATTGAATAAATAATCAGTTTTAGGTAGTTTTTCATGTCCCACCAGGGCTGGAAAATACAATGATGCAGGTCATTTATAATTGGGTCTGATTCATTTAGTTTGTCGGCACCCATTTCGTCGAAAGTTTATTTCATCGAAAGTTCATTCGTCGAAAGTTTATTTCATCGAAGGTTCATTCGTCGAAAGTTTATTTCATCGAAGGTTCATTCGTCGAAAATTATTTCGTCACAAAAAAAAAAGCTTCATTAAACAAATTTCTCCTCACACTTCCCACACACTCCGCTTTCCTCACCTTATTTCTTAACTAACTTCACACACTCCTCACATCTAACTCGTTCGGTCTCTGGCTCGAGGATGAAATAATTTTCGACGAAATGAACATTCGATGAAACAAACTTTCGACGAAGTTAACGCGACCGGGTACTAGGACCTAACCTGCTCAGTACACTAGAAATAGTAAATTTTGTTGATTCACAAGATTTTTCTGCAGTTGATAATATTGATATGACAAATGTCGCAACGAACAATGAGGATGAAAGAACATGTGGAGGTCACAAGCACCTGAAATAGTAGTCAATAACAATCCTCCCCATGATATTAATGATAAGAACCTTCTATTAACCAGAACTTTCCCCATTAAATGTTGTTGTGCCCACTGAATATTCATTTGTTTATGAATATTCTATCTAATTTATCAAAATTATCAAATTTTTTTCAAATTCTTCAATTTTATTATAAAGCTCATCAATTGCAAAAAAATAATCAACAAGAATCAAGTCAATCTCAAAATAATTCTCAAAATTTAAATGAAGACAATCAGTTAATAGAAGAAACATTGATATTTAATCAAAATTTTCAATTTGATGATGATGATGACAGTTAAGATGAAATATCAACTTACTAGTCCTCAAAAGTTAAAAAAGATGTTGATCCACTAACATGGTGGAAAGAAAATAAGGAAAATTTTCCAATATCAGCAAAATTAGCTAAAAAATATCTCGAAACAGATATTCGAAAGTGACATGGATATTCGAAAGTGTTACAGTTATTCGAAAATATTATGGATATTCAAATAATAATAAGAATCGAATATCATCTCCATATACAGTCCCCGGCGAAAGTAATGGCGGTACAATGAAACATTATTTTTGCTAAGTTTTTATTAAGTAAAAATCGATCTTTTTATATTAAATAAAGTTGTTCACAATGAAAAATTCTATATATCCTAAAATTTTTATGAAGTTTAAGAAAATTTTTTGATGTGTTCTTGCACTTTACATTTGTGTAAAAAAATTTGATTTTTCTATTTCGTAAAAACGTAAAATATAAAAACATATTAAAAATTTTTATCCAAACTTCATAAAATTTTTAGGATACGTGGAATTTTTCATTTC